TATAAACACTAAATATTGATTTAACTAAACATGATATAACAATATTGGGAGAGAAGAAGGGGGGGATGTTGTTAGTCCTCATCAGAGTCAACATGTAGTCTCTAAACTTAAAACTTGGATTTCTTTGAACAGGTGGCAGACCCACTGTTTTTGAAGCATCTTCCTATAAACCAGGCTTATTCTCCCAATAATGTTGAAAAGGCCTGTCGGTGGGCCTTGACAGTGCTTATTCCTATATGTTGTGTGTCTTCCATTGTATATAAATTTTTTGGTTGTTTGTCCCACCAAAGTTGGAATCAAATTCTCTTCCCTTGAACATGGGTTGGACCCAGGAACTTTTAGCAAGAGAATGCATCAGAAGCGTATACTATTCTTTTATTTTTAACAGCTTTATTGAGATGTAACTCACATAACATACAACTGACCAAATGAAAGCATACAATTCAATTGGGGTGGGGGGGTAATATATTACCATTTTACAAAAATGGCAAAAGAGAATATAAAATTTGTCATTTTAACCATTTTATTTTATTTAAAATTTTTTTTTTCCTTTTTTATTTATTTTGGGACAGAGAGACAGGCATGGGAGGGGCAGAGAGAGGGAGAGCCACAGATGGAAACAGGCTCCAGGCTCAAGCAGAGCCATCACAGCTTCAGAGCCTGACGCTGCCCGGAATAATGACTCAGGACCGTGAGATGTGACCTGGTTAGTCGGACGCTAACAACCGACTAAGCCACCCAGGCTACTAACCATTTTTTAAAGTGTACAATTCAGTGGCATTAATTATATTCACAATGTAGTATAAACATTACCACTACCTCTTTCCAAAATTTTATATCACCCCAGACAGAAATTCTAACCATTAAGCCATAGCTTTCCAATACCCTCCATCCACCCTCCAGCGTCTGATAACTGCTAATCACTTTTGTCTTTATGAATTTGCCTATTGTAGGTACTTCATGTAAGTACAATCATACAATATTTATGTCTGCTTTATGTCTGGCATATTTATTTCTGAATAATGTTTGAAGGTTCATCCATGCTGCAGCATGTATCTGAATGTCATCCCTTGTTCGTTAATTGAATGATATTCCATTTTATGTATTTAATACATTTTGTTTGTTTATCCATTCATCTTTGATGGGTACTTGTTTCCCTCTTTTGCCATGTGTGAATGGTGCCGCAATGATCATTGGCATACAGATGTCCCTCCAAGTCCTTGCTTTCACTTATCTAGAGTGGAATTGCTGGGGATATATAAAGGATATACAGGGATATATATATGTGTGTATATATATATATGAAGGATATTAGACAGTGTTCTGCAGAGGAATAGAACCAACAGGATGTGTGTATGTATATGTATGTATGTGTATATATATATATATATATATATATATATATGCGGTGCGCGCTTACTCTACACCCCAGAAAGTAATGATTTACAAGAACTGGTTCATGATGTGGGGCTGGTAACTCCTGAATTCCATGAGCAAGCTGGCAGACCAAAGACCAGAGGAAGGTGCAGCTTACATATGAGAGGCAAAGTCTGGAGGAGACAGATACCTTTCTCTTTAGAGCCTCAGTCCTTTTCTCTTAAGGTTTTCAACTGATTGGATGAAGGTCACCCACGTTACTGAGTAATCTGCTTAATCAAAGTCTATCAATATAACTATTAGTACTGAGAGGACAATCTCATCTAAAAATAGCTTCATAGTGACATTTTCATCTAGACTAGTGTTTAACCAGATATCTGGGTACTGTGACCTAGGCAAGTTGACATATTAAATGCTATGTTTAGCTCTTGAAATGCTCAGAATGTTTCCACAGCAGCTGAACCATTTTTATGTTCCCAACAGCAGTGTATGAGGTTCCAGTTTCTTCACATCCTCACCAATACTTACTATTTTCTATTAAAAAAATTTAGCCATCATAGTGGGTATGGAGTAGGATCTCATTGTGGTTTTAATTTTCACTTTCTAATGACTAATGATGTTGAAACTTTTTTCATGTGCTTGTTAACCCATTTGTATATCTTTAGAGACTGTCTATTCCAAGTGCCCATTTTAGAACTGAGTTATCTTTTTGTTGTACAGTTGTAAGGGTTCTTTATATATCCTAGATACTAGACTCTTAACAAATGTATGATTTGCAAATATTGTCCCCTATCCTGTATATTGCCTTTTACTTCCTTGATAATGTTCTTTGATACACAAAGGTTTTTTAATTTTAATGAAGTCAAACTTACTTATTATTTCTTTCTGTTGCTCATGATTTTAGTGTCTTTTCTAAGAATCTGTTGTAAATCCAAGGTCATGGTTTGCCCCTGTTTTCTTCTAAGAGTTTTACGGCTTTAATCTTATTTATGTTGTTTATCTATTTTGAGTTTTTTGTGTGTGGTATGGTGTTTGGTAGGGGTTCCAACTTCATCCTTTTGCATGTGTCTATCCACTTATCCTAGTACCATGTGTTTAAGAGAGACTATTTCTTTCCCAGTGGTCTTGAACCTTTGCTGAAATCAATTGTGGGCCAGGATATATACTTTATTTTCTGGACTTCCAATTCCTATTCCATTGGTCTATGTGTCTATCCTTATACCAGTACCATATTGTTTGGATTACTTTACAGTAAGGCCTGAAACTGGGATATAAGTCTGCCACCCCAACTACCCCCACCCCAGAATTGTTTGGCTATTCGGGGCCCCTTGCAATTCCATATGAATTTGAAGAATCAGCTTTCACTTTTTCAAAAAAATGACTACCAGAATTTTGGTAGGATTGAAGTGAATCTGTACATTGCTTTTGGTAGTATTGTCATCTTGATAATAAGACTTCCAATCCATGAACATAGGATGTCTTTCCATTTATTTAGGCCTGTTTAATTTCTTTCAAGAATGTTTTGTAGTTTTCAGTGTACAAGTCTTTCACTTCCTTGGTTAAATTTATTCCTAGGTAGTTTATTCTTTTGGATGTTATTGTAAATGGAATTGTTTTCTCAATTTCTGTTTTAGATTGTTCATTGCTGGTATTTAAAAACACAGCTGATTTTGTGTGTTTATCATGTACCCTGCAACTTTGGTGAAATTATTAGCTCTGGTAGTTTTTGTGGATTCTTTGGGATTTTCTTTTTTTTTTTTAACTTTTTTTTAAATGTTTTTTTTTTATTTTTAAGAGAGAGAGAAAACAGCGCACTAGTGGAGGCAGGGCAGGGGGCAGGGTGCAGAGAGAGACACACACACACAGAATCTGAAGCAGGCTCCAGGCTATGAGCTCTCAGCACAGAGCCCGATGCAGGGCTGAAACTCAAAAACCATGAGATCGTGACCTGAGCTAAAGTCAGACACTTAACTGATTGAGCCACCCAGGTGCCCCTATTCTTTGGGATTTTCTAACATGTTGGATCACATCATCTGTGAATAGAAATAATTTTACTTCTTCCTTTCCAGTTTGGATACCTTTTATTTCTTTTTCTTGTCTAACTTCTCTGGCTGAAACTTCCACTACAGTGTTCAATAGCAATGGTCAAAGTGGGCAGCTTTGTCTTGATTCTGATCTTTGGGGAAAGCTTGCAGTCTTTCACCACTGAATTGGGTGTTAGCTGTGGAGTTTTCATAAATGCCTTTTATCATGTTGAGGAACTTTCCTTCTATTCCTAGCCTTCTGAGCGTTTTTATCATGAAATAGTGCTGAATTTTGTCAAATGCTTTTTCCACATCAACAAAGATGATCTTTTACATCTTTTCAAGATAAAATGCTTTAGTGCTAAAACCAGTGGTATATTTCAATGGAGAAGAGAACATAGAAAAAGTTCAGGTTGGGACACTGATCATCTGAGATAAAGGCAAAGAAAGCCCAGGGCTTAAAGGCTCCAAGGAAAGTAGATGGAGTATTAGGGATTAGAGAATGGAGAGTTCTAGCCCCAGTGCAACATTTTACCAAGCTGAATGGGATAAAGGTGAGAAGAGAAATGCCTGCTTTTTGAAAAGCTTGGGCAAATTGTTTATAAATTCTATACAGTGTACAACAAATATTAACTGAAAATTAGGACACATGCAATAG